CAGTGCTCCTCTGGGTAAACCCATTGTGACTAGAATCAAGACCCTCTATGGGTGGCAATCTTATGCACATCTACTTGAGAGTAAATGCTGCTAAATTAAACAAAAGTCACTTCTCTGTCTACACCGTGGGTAGGCAAACTAAGGCCTGGGGGCCGGATCTGGCCCAATCGCCTTCTCAATCCGGCCTGCGTATGGTCCGGGAATCAGAGTGTTTTTACATAAGTAGAATGTGTTCTCTTATTTAAAAGGCATCTCTGGGTTATTTGTGGGGCATAGGAATTCATTCATCCCCCCCCCATATAGTCTGGCCCCCCACGAGGTCTGAGGGACAGTGGACTGGCCCCCTGCTGCAAAAGTTTGCTGACCCCTGGTCTACATGCAAGTAACACAAACCCGTTTCTAAAATCTGACCATAGTTCTACATGCAAGTGAAAACAACAGCCATAGTTTTTAATCTATATCCAACTCCACGCTACTTTGTGGCACAAACGATCCAAGTTTTCGAAGGGTGTCTCGCAACACCCTTAACGTCCTAAAGGGAACTCTCAATTTGGTGTGACTTTCAGATGCAGGTGTATCCTTCTGATTCACCCTCACCATAAAGCAGGGGTGACTAACCTGTGGCTCTCCAGATGTTGCTCTCCAGGCTATAACTCTCATCATCCCTGACCATTAATGGGGCCATGCTGGGTGAGGCTGATGGGAATTGGTTGGGAGTCCAACAACATCTGGAGGGCCGCAGGTTCCCCACTACTGCTTCCGAAAGTAGCAAATTACCTGAGATGTGACTATATGATCTATCTCCAGGAAGGAAGGGGTTTTTAACCAGGTGGTCAGAGAGATTGCACATTAAAATAACATGCTTCTTTCTCCCCACAGAGCAGTGTCTGGAGGCACCTGATAAGGGATCCACACATTTTTGCTGGCTTCGGTAGCTGCCTACCAACTGTACTGTTTTTAATGGTGTTTTGTGTTTTATTGTACTGTACACCACACTGATATTTTACGAGATGGCAGCTAGAGCTGAGCAATGTCTGGTTTTCAACAAATTAATCAGGACTGTTATTAAATTGAGATGGGAAGGGGAGACACAATACATCCCTAAGTAATGCTCTTGAACATAGCCCATGGTCTTATTTTAAAATGGCCATTCTTCAGTACAAGCACAATTTCTGCTCCAAGTAATGTTGTCCCATTACTGGCGTCAGTGCTACAATATAGGAAGCGTAATTAACTGAAACTTGTCCCAGTGCCCACATTAATTTTAAGAATGTGGGAAAAGCCATCAGGCCCAGCATTCTCTTCCCCCGGTGGCCAACCAGACACCTACAAGAAAACCGCAGAAGAACAGTGCAATAACAGAACCTGGAGCATCCTGACTGATACTGGTGGTAATATATAGTAATCATGACTGGGAGCCATCAATATGCCTTATCCTCCATGAATTTGCCCGATCCCGCTTTAAAGCTATCTATGGTAGCAGTCACCACGATAGCTTGGGATAGCGAATGTTTGCCTTGAATCTCCCACCATTCAGCATCACTGTGTTTTTAGAGGAGAAAATGCTCTCCACATTGCATATTTTATAAACCTCTATCATGTCCCCTGTTACTCATCTTTTTTTCAAAGCTAGAAAGACCCAAGTATTGTAAGCTTTCCTTAGAGGGGAGTTCTGCTCTGCTTCCATGGTTGGAGGCAGTATGCTTCTGAATACCATTTGCTGGAAAATACAGGAGAGGAGAGTGCTCTTGAGCTCAGGTTCTGCTTGCGGGATTCCTATAGCCAACTTGTTGGCCATAGTGAGAACAGGATGCTAGCCTAGATGTTCTTAGGAGTTGCTCCAGCCCCTTGATCGTTTTTGACTGCCCTTTTCTAGCTCAATATTGTGAGGTGAGATCAGAACTGTGGACAGTATGCTAAGTTTGGTCATACCAAAAGTCTGCAAATAGGCACTATAATATTGACAGTTCTATCTTCAAACAATTTCCAAAAAAGGAATTTGCCTTCTCCTCCAAAGCTGCAACACACGGCATCAACATGTTCACCAACCTATGCACCACTGCTAGTTCACATTCCATCAGTGTATATGTGAAGTTTTTTTTTACTCCAGTAAATTATCACTTCATACTAAACTGCATTTGCCATTTTAATACCCATTCCCCAGTTTGGAGAGATCCTTTCTGGGTTCCTTACAATTGCTTTTTGTCTTCTAATCCCCTGAATAATTTGAAGTCTTTAGCAAACCTCACTACTCACCCTACCTCTAGATAATTTGTGAACAAGTTAAAAAGTACTTGTCCAAGACTTTGGCTGTGTTTATATTTGCATACTAACTGAGCTGGTATGAATATATGAATCTTAAGAGGTTGATAGGCCCTTTTCCTATGCAATCTCTGGGATCCAAGAGAACCAGATTGAGATTTTCAAAAATGGTAGTATTTCCTCAAATTAGGAATTCTAGATTGCCCAACGCAAAGGATGCCGCTCTTTTGAAGGGAATTTGCTACAATTTAGGGATAGGGAAAATCAAACCTGGACCAAACAAAGACTTAGAACACCAAAAATCCCCTTGTTCCAAATAACCTTTAGACCAGGACTTCCTTACACTCAGTAAAAGTCAGTTGCACTTAAGTCCATTTGAAATTAATGGGGCTTAAGTTTGCTGTTTAAAAACTTGTTTCATTGATTTCAATGAGTGACTCTCACTGGAATTGAGTTGTTGTGTTCCTCATAATAATAATAATAATTTATTATTTCTACCCCGCCCATTTGACTGCATTGCCCCAACCACTTTGGGTGGTTTCCAGCATATATAAAAACATAATAAAACAAAAACAAAGCCTTAAAAAGCTTCCCTATACAGGGCTGCCTTCAGATGTCTTCAGAAGGTTATATAGTTACTCATCTCCTTGACATCTGACGGGAGGGCATTCCAAAGGTGGGTGGGTGCCACTACTGAGAAGCCCATTACTTCTCACATAGCCTAGTCTTCATGCTGAGCAATTTTTGCAGACAAAGTACATTTTGATATTACAGGCACACAACATTGCAACATTCATAGCCAATATACTTTTATGCCCCTCACTTCAATGGCTCTTTTGTATTCAGTGAAAAGTGGAGATGCAGGTTTACAGACTATCAAATTTTAATTCATGTAACATTCTAGCGGCTTCTTGAAGTGTGGCAACCACTGCTGACTTCTAGCTGTCTCCTTAGAGACAGTCACATACAAGACATGCACAGAACTCTGTGCACACCGGGTTTTCACAAAAGACCTGCTCTGCACTGTTATTCCCGCTGCCTCTGCACATGACATTTACGGCTAAATCCCAGTGAGCAAAGGGGCTGCCATGCCACAATCTAAGGTTGTTAGAACAAATCCTTTAAAAGTGGCAAAGCATAAACTGGGGTGGTAATGATTTTAGATTAATTAAACCAGAGTAAATTGACCATGTGGCACCATGAATTTGCTAACTAGAGCTTCTGTTCTAAGGTACACTTTCCTAAGTAAGGTAAAGGTAAAGGGACCCCTGACCATTAGGTCCAGTCGTGACCGACTGGGGTTGCTGCGCTCATTTTGCTTTATTGGCCGAAGGAGCCGGCGTACAGCTTCCAGGTCATGTGGCCAGCATGACTAAGCTGCTTCTGGCGAACCAGAGCAGCACACGGAAACACCATTTACCTTCCTGCTGGAGCGGTACCTATTTATCTACTTGCACTTTGAGGTGCTTTTGAACTGCTAGGTTGGCAGGAGCAGGGACCGAGCAACGGGAGCTCAACCTATCGCGGGGATTCGAACCGCCTACCTTCCAATCGGCAAGCCCTACACTCTGTGGTTTAACCCACAGCGGCACCCGCCTCCCCAAGTGCATGTACCTAAACACAATGACCAACAAAGGCGGCCATCATAGGCAGCTGTTACACTCTAGAACAGCCTTCCTCAACCTTGTGTCGTCAGATATTCCTGAACTCCAACTCCCACCATCCCTGACCATTGCCCATGCTGGCTGGGGCTGATGGCAGTTGCAGTTCAGCAGCACCTAGAAGGCCCACAGGTTCTCCAAACCCTGCCCTACAATAACCACCATCCCTTGGCAGAAACAAAAAACGTCGGGTTCCAACCTATTCGGCCTGACTTCAAGCAAAAACGGGTAAGGCTAGCGCGCGAAAGGGGGTATATCTGGTAGCCCTTGCACCAGATAAGCCGAGCTTCCTGGAACAAAATGCACCTAGTCTCGCCTTTCTCCTCCCACGCCTCGAGCCGCAGAAGTATCCAGTGCCGCGTTCTATTGCCTCGAAGCCGGCTCCCCATTGGCCAAGCGGAGCAGACACGTCACGGCTTGACCCGGCCGCTGAGGCGGAGGAGAAAAGGAAGTGGCCGAGCCAGGCTTGTGTAACCAACAACCTACTTCGCGGGGGGGGGGTGTCACGCTTGTATTTGGGGGAGGCGGGGGCTCCCCCCCGCCGCCTCGGGCAGAGTGGCACCTCCAGGTGTGTCTCCCCCCCCCCCCGCACAAGCGCCAGTTGCTAGTTAAGGGCGGGAAGTGGCCATTTCCTCCCTTTCTCTCCGGCTCCAGCCCAAGGCCGCCTCCCTGCCTGGTTCTTCCTCTTACATACAGCCTCTCGGGGAGGGGCAGGGGAGAGCGGAGATGGCAGCCGCAAGGCCTCTGCGGGGAAAAGCAAAAAAAGAGCACACGGCGCCCTTCGGTACCAAGCACACGTTACGAAACCACCCAGCCCAATTCCCCCCTCCCCGACCTCATTTCACAGCACCGAGTGGGAAAGGAAAAGCATATAAGAAGCGGCAGCCGCAGGGCCCCGGGAACCGCCCGGGTCTCCTCTCTCGGGAAAGCGTTTTCTACCGGAACGGGCCTTGCCCCGCCATGGCTGGGTTCAAAGTCCCCGAGGTGGGAAGAGAAATCCTTCCCCCGCCCGCCCCCCCGGTTTTATGCACAGCTCCCCTTCGTGCATTGCAGGGTTGGGGGCCCTCGCTCGCTCACCTAGCTTCCACGCCCGCGAAGAGGCTGGTCAGCTGCCAGAAACAATATCCGCATGGCCAACGTATCCCGGGATCGAAAACAACAAGTGTCCACCAGCTCAGCAGCTCCATTAGCTTCTCTCGTCAACCTCCGCGGGAGTGAAAATAAAAGTTGCTTCCTCCGCGTCCCCCAAGCAAGGTGCTCCTGGGCTCGGTTCAAATTCTGTGCTCCTAAATCCAGATTATTTTCTCCCTTCCGCCCCGTCGCAATCGCTCCTCGCCTTTGTTTCTGCCGCTGCTATTTCTCGCCATCCGGCAACCCCCTAAGCAAACCGCCTGTTTCAGAGCCCCACAACCAGCGAGAGAAACGCGTCCTTCCAGCCGATCCCTTCCCAGCCTCTGCAAATCCAAAAGTGAAATTAAAAGCCCTGCATTCTCTTACCAGTAGCTGCACCTAAAATCATATGACCCGCAACGGCGCTGGCCTTTTATTTTTGTTTTCAATCAAGATCAATAGCAACATTTCTGGAAGCAAGCGTCTCAATCATGTGGGGGGCGGGGAGAGAAACGCCTAATCTGCAAAGGATTAATATTTGGGTTTTGGTTTTTGTTTAGAAAAAAATGCCTTACCAATAAGTTTGTTTCGCGTTATTTATGGCAGTTCCCTTCAAGGTTATCGCGGTTGCCAAGAGACGCAAAATGGAAAGGAAAACAGGCGGCTGCATAAATCGCGGGAGCAAAACTAAAAGTTATTCCCTCCTCCTCTGCTTTTGGCGGAGATCAGCCCAGATCGAAAGCAAAACAAGGGGAGGAAGCCGCGAGGAGCTGAGTCTTGGAAATCCCCCCCTCCCTTCCTCCTCCTCCTGCTCCTCTTCCAGGCCTGTTTGTGCAGAGAGCGAGAGAAGGGGAGGTGGGGGCTGGAAGGAGAGAAAGGGGTGCGGAAGTTTGCCGCAGCCGTTCATTGGCAGGCTCCGCTGCTTTCATCAGTTCTCAGAAAAGTCGATTTCATTTTCACTTCCCTCCAGCAACAGCGACATCAGCCCACGGCGAGCGGGTGGAAAGTGGCTGGTGGGGGAGGGGGAGGCGGAAATAGAGGTTTCGGTTCCTCGGTAAGGGAAACCAGGGCTTACAAGCAGCCACTGCTTCCCCCCTCCTCCTCCTCGTCTTCGCCTCCTTTTTCTGTGGTCGGATGCTGTATCCTGGGGACGGAATGGCGCCCGAGCATCTTCCAAAGCCTTGTGCGAAGAGACCCAGGGGGACGGAGAGATGCTGGATCCGACCTTGGGCGTTGCACGCCGTTTGTGTACGTGTGTGTGTGTGTGTGTGTGTGTGTGTGCGCGCGCGCGCGCTGTGGAACCGGCGGCCTCTGGCAGAACCGGGAGATTCGGCTTGTTTTGTTGCTAAAAAAAGAGAGCCAAGTTTCTAGTCCTTGTGAAACAAACAATAACAGCCTAAGAGGCAGTGGCTGCTTATCTAAGCGAGGATTTGAGAAGTCAAGGCATACAGTGCCGTGCCACATGTATAATTTTCTTTTCTTTCTTCTGAATTTTTATTTATAATGAGGTTGGGGAAATAACCAGTGGGATTGTTTTTTTAAGCAGCCAACCACTGTGAAACTCCTCCCTTTTCGAAAAGTCACTTCCTGTATAGCATGTGCTGTTGTCGAAAAAACCACAGGTCCAAATCCTTCTCTTGGGTGTAGAATTAGCTGCATGGTCCTTTGGTTCCAAGCCCACCAAGCCCATGCCTTGTGTTTCTTTTGGTGGTGGCATCCTGCCTATGGAATGCAATACCCAGGGAGGCTTGCCTAGTATCTACTCTCTCGTCATTTTGATTCCCGGCAAAGATCCATCTATTTTCCATGGCTTTTTAACATTTATTGAGTCTTTAATCCTCTTTCATTGATTATTGAGGGCTTTATTGTTTTTACTATTTCATTGCTGTCATATTCCTTTTCATGGTTACTTATTAATACATAAATTCATAAATAACAATAATAACCTGCCCTGAAAATATTTATTGAAAGCCTGGGGAAGAAAGTGAAACAAACATGTCTCAAGATGGCTTAAAAGAATTAGAGAAATTATCTAGCCAACTTAATTATTAAATTAGTCTTCCTTGCCTACAAAACTTAAAACGTGTCTTTCAAAAGAATCTTTCAAGATTCCAAGATGGCGGCGCGCATAGACGCTGCGGCTTAGTGCTCTCCCTTAGCGTTTTGTTTTGTTTGTTTTGTTTTTATTATTTTTACTTGGTCTGAGTATGTCTGGCCGGGCAAGAAAGATTTACAGCAGGCAGGAACTTCTGAAGGTCAGGTTACAGTGTGAACAAGCTGTAAGAGCTGGTTATTTTCGCCCAGATAACGTTCCTGTGGGAGTAGCCAGGTAAAGTCCAACTGGCAGTTAAAGTCCAACTGACAGTTCAGCTGCTGTAGGGCGCTGGCTTTGGGATGCCATTTGTCTACACGGGATTTGCACCTTCCTGTTTGTGAAGAGGACCGAAAATTAATTCAGCCTTGAACAAGCAGATAAGGAAAGGAGTGGTTTAATGGGAATCCAATAGCCAGTAACCGGATACAAGATATACAAGATGGCAGTGCGCATAGACGCTGTGGCTTAGTGCTCTCCCTCAGCGTTTTGTTTTGTTTTTTATTATTTTTATTTGGTCTGAGTATGTCTGGCCGGGCAAGAAAGATTTACAGCAGGCAGGAACTTCTGAAGGTCGGGTTACAGTGTGAACAAGCTGTAAGAGCTGATTATTTTCGCCCAGATAACGTTCCTGTGGGAGTAGCCAGGCCACCGGGCTCTCCATGGATTACTATGCCTCCAGGGAGGAGGCGAAGGCGGCGTAGAGACAGGAGGCAAAGGCGGGGTTGTCGGGCTGGCGTCCTGGTAAGATTGCAGAGGAGTCCATCTAAACCACCGCTCCCTAGCATATTTCTTGCTAATGTGAGATCTCTTACCAACAAGATGGATGAATTGAGGCTGCAGGCAGCAAAGAACAGCCTTGTAAAAGATTGCTGCGTTTTATTTGTCATTGAGACATGGCTTCAACCGTCCATACCAGACACAGCTATTCAGTTGGAAGGCTGTGCGGTACATCGTCATGACCGAGGCATGGACTTCGGAAAAACCAAAGGAGGGGGGCTGTGTGTATATGTGAACAAATGCTGGTCCAATAATTCGAAGACTGTGGGCAGTCACTGTTCACCGGATTTGGAATATGTGGCTGTTAAATGTAGACCAGCCTATCTCCCTAGGGAGTTCACAGCTGTTATGTTAACTGGTGTGTACGTGCCACCAGATGCCAATGCCAACTTGGCTTTGGGATGTCTGCAGGACCTTATCAGCAGCCAGCAAGACAAGTATCCTGAAGCTGTGCACATCATTGCGGGAGACTTCAACCATGTTGAACTTAAAACAGTGCTCCCAACGCTCTATCAGCATGTGAAATGTCCCACAAGAGGGGACAAGACACTGGATAAAGTTTATTCGAATGTAAATCACGGCTATAGGGCTTTACAGCTGCCACACTTGGGCCAGTCCGACCATATGTCTCTGTTCCTGGTACCAGCATATATCCCACTCAGGAAACGGCCTCCCACAATATTAAAATCTGTTAAAATCTGGCCTGAAGGTGCTATTCACCAGCTGCAGGACTGTTTTGAGAGAACCAATTGGGATATTTTCGATAGTTCAGACCTGGAGGAGCACACGGCGGCAGTTCTGTGCTATATCAATCACTGCACAGACACTGTCACAGTAAATAAATCCATCCGGTTTTACCCCAATCAGAAACCCTGGATGAATAGAGAGGTCCAGTGCCTGTTGCGGGAAAGGAACAGGGCTTTCAGGTCAGGCGAGGTGCAGCTTTACAGTGTAGCAAGAGCAAACTTGAGGAGGGGTATTCGACGGGCAAAATTGGATTATAGGCTGAGGATTGAGGATAATTTAAGGAGCAACAACACAAGACAGATGTGGCAGGGGATTCAGCATATTACCAACTACAAACCTAACCTTGGTGCTGTCGACGGTGACCCTTTGCTGGCGGAGGAGCTTAACCTCTTCTTTGCTCGCTTCGAGAAGGAGCCACCTGAGACGCCGGTATTACAGCCACCAGCCCATAGGGGCCCCTCATTCACGGTAGAGGAACATGAGGTGAGACAGGTATTGAGGATGGCGAATCCGAGGAAGGCGGCTGGACCTGATGGCATCACTGGAAAGGTGTTGAAGGGCTGTGCGGATCAGCTGGCGAGGGTCTTTACTAAGATCTTCAATAAGTCCTTACACCAGTCTATTGTCCCACCCTGCCTGAAGTCGTCAACTATTGTCCCTCTGCCTAAAAAATCCACAATCAGTAGTTTGAATGACTACAGACCAGTTGCACTGACTCCAATCATCATGAAGTGTTTTGAGAAACTGGTGCGCCGTCACATTATTTCCTGTCTTCCATCAATTTTTGACAACTACCAGTTTGCATACAGAGCAAATAGATCCACAGAAGACGCCATCAATACCACTCTCCATGCTGCTCTGTCCCATCTGGAGCAGCCGGGGAGTTATGTGAGGCTGCTGTTTGTGGATTTTAGCTCTGCTTTTAACACTATCCTCCCCCATAGACTGGTGTCCAAGCTAGAGGCGATTGGACTCTCCAACTCCACCTGTCTCTGGGTTTTGGATTTTTTGTCAGAACGTTCTCAGAGGGTTAGAGTAGGGTCACATATGTCCACAGCCCTTAGCCTTAACACCGGCTCACCACAGGGTTGTGTGTTGAGTCCCCTGCTCTATGCTCTCTATACGTATGACTGTACAGCCATCTATTCCAGCAACAAAATCATCAAGTTTGCTGATGACACTACGGTGGTAGGGCTCATTTCAGGAGGGGATGAGTCCGCCTATCGGGACGAGGTGGAGCGGCTCTGTGTTTGGTGTGGAGAGAACAATCTGGCTCTTAATACGGCTAAGACCAAGGAATTGGTGGTGGATTACAGGAAAAAAAAGGCGGACATTCAGCCCTTGTATATCAACGGGGAACGGGTGGAGAGGGTGGCGGAATTCAGGTTTTTGGGAGTAACTATCGATCAGGGCATGACTTGGAGTGCACATACCACTGCTCTGGTGAAGAAGGCCCAGCAGAGAATTTATTTCCTCAGACTTTTAAAGAAGAACAATCTGAGTGAGAGACTGCTGGTGTCCTTCTACCGAGGCTCCATAGAGAGCATTCTTACATACTGTATTTGTGCTTGGTTCTCCAGTTGTACAGCTAGGGAGAGGAAGGTGCTCCAGAAGGTCATAACCACAGCCCAAAGGATTATTGGTCATCCTCTCCCATCTTTGGAAGAACTGTACGGTTCCCGTTGTCTTAGGAAAGCAAATAACATCCTGCAGGATTCATCTCACCCGGGACACAGTCTGTTTGCACTACTGCCTTCTGGCAGGAGATATAGAAACATCAAGTCAAAGACAAATAGACTGAAAAACAGTTTCTATCCAAGAGCTGTGGCCTTTTTGAATGCTGTAACTCGATAGTGTGACCTGGGAGTTTGATGGGTGTTGGTGTGGGTGTGGCTGGAATGTGGTTTGTTTGGTTGTTGTTGTTGTTTTGCTTTTGTTGTTTTAAGGGATGGCATCAAATTTCGTTGCACTTTGTGCAATGTTGCACTTGTGTAATGACAATAAAGAATCTATTCTATTCTATTCTATTCTAATTATTAAATTAGTCTTCCTTGCCTACAAAACTTAAAACGTGTCTTTCAAAAGACTGGCGTCAGTCATAGAATAAAGCAGATACATCTCCCAAGTCAGCAGAACTTCCTGGCTGATGTTTTTTGTTTGTTTTGTAGCCCACTCCTTTTCTGAGATGATTCAATGACGTGTATGATTTCTGGCAAAGATGAACTGGAATTCAGACATTAATGTCTCATTGTGCTTATTGCCTCTGTCTTCGCTTCTTCTTTTTCAGATGCCACTTGTAACTTCCACCTTTTAATCTTTGTTCAAAACGCATACCAAAAGCAAAACTTTGTCTCACACACCAGAGAAAATAAAATTATTGGCAACCAGCACTGCAGCCTTTAAAGGGGGGGGGGATATTGCTGGACAAATACCAAAGTTAATTCCAGTCCACCTGTTGCCAGAATTCCCTTTTACATATACCATTGACACATATATTACACTTTCAATTTATCGAGTTAGCCGAATTTAATAGAGGTGTTTGGAGTCATAGCTCAGTGGTGGAGCATCTCTAGGTATAGCTGAAAAATATCCTGTCTGAAACCCAGGAGAGGTGCTGCTGGGTCAGGATTGCTAAATAGTACTGAGCTAGAAAGACCAATGGGCCTGACTCATCATAAGACATCTTCCTGTGTTCCTAAATAAAGGGAAATTAGGGAATTAACCAGCTTTGGTTCATTTAGGGTGCCAGCTGAAGACACCTTTTCTGCCAGGCCCAATAGATGCTTGGCTATGTACTGAGTGATATACTAAATAGATGGAGATGGGTACATTTCAAATAATGTTATAGTTCTTATTCTTTATTGGGTTTTACATTACTGTGTCATGCCCCCTGGTCATGTGTGATGAAGCGAGAGGGAATGCAAAATCCGTAAGTTAGAAATACACATTCAAAACAAACAACAAAACATGCAACTCACAGTTCAAAAACAACCTCTCCTGGATCTGAAGGTAAGAAGTAAAGCTGTGTGGTACCAGCATACTGATGAACACTGCAGCCCAAACCTCCAACTTCTGCCAGTGGTTTCATGTAGCTGTTAAAGAGCATAAGGGACAGTATTGAACCCTAGGATACACCAGACAGCAATAGCCATGAAGTGAAACAATCGTCTCCCAGTATCACCTTCTAGAAAGGCTTCTCTAGAACATAAGGAACCACCACAGGACCAGGTCTTGTAAAAACAACCCAGATAAGCAGTCCAGAAGGACACCATGGCCAATGAAAGGTCCAGGAGAACTAAGAACATGGCACTTCTTCAATCAATTCTCTGGCATAAATCTTCCATTGGGGGCTCAGGCTGTTCCTGTGCCAAAAGCTGGATTGGAACAGATCCAAATAATTCATCATCCAAGACCATCTGGAGCTGAGAGGTCCTACCACCTGGCCCATTCACTTTGCAGTGAAGCTCATTTTGGAAGCTTACAAACCCACCACAGTTAACGTCAGTGTCCTTGATTGGTAATGTCAGCATGTCCTGGCACTTCTCTCAGGCCTCTAAAATCTTAACAGATAATTTTTTACCATTCATCAAGTGTCTCATACTTATCATAGCAATATTTTTTACCTCAGTCTAGCACCTTTCATGTGTCTTCCTCTGTCCTAGTTCACATAAATACTAACGTTCATAATTACAGTGGTACCTCAGGTTACATACGCTTCAGGTTACATATGCTTCAGGTTACAGACTCCGCTAACCCAGAAATGTTACCTCGGGTTAAGAACTTTGCTTCAGGATGAGAACAGAAACCGTGCTCCGGTGGCAGCAGGAGGCCCCATTAGCTAAAGTGGTGCTTCAGGTTAAGAACAGTTTCAGGTTAAGTACGGACCTTCGGAACGAATTAAGTACTTAACCTGAGGTACCACTGTACTGGGGAATCCCTTTATAGGTTACATATACTCTGCAAGCTTCTATTTCAAAGACTGCTTCACATGAGAAAATAATGCGCTGTGGCTTTGAGGAAGCTGCCAGAAAAAGTGGTTCTTCAAAACAGGAACCTATAAATTTGCCCTCTAGGCAAATTTAAAAACAAAACAAAACAAAACACGCACAGCAGGAATGGGGAACTTGTGGGCCTCCAGATTGGCAGTGCAGGGATGGGAGAAATTGTTAATAAATTCCGTTCTGACACAAATATATCTATATTTTAAAACCCTGATAATTTCAAGAATAATGGCAGTATCCTGGTGCCATCTTCAAAACCTGGAAACAAGAAAATATGCAGGCCATGCTTTTAACAACAGATAACATGTACAGATCCTGAAAACAAACAATACAGTGGTACCTCAGGTTACATACGCTTCAGGTTACATACGCTTCAGGTTACAGACTCCGCTAACCCAGAAATAGTGCTTCAGGTTAAGAACTTTGCTTCAGGATGAGAACAGGAATCGGGCTCCGGCGGTGCAGCGGCAGCAGGAGGCCCCATTAGCTAAAGTGGTGCTTCAGGTTAAGAACAGTTTCAGGTTAAGTACGGACCTCTGGAACGAATTAAGTACTTAACCTGAGGTACCACTGTAGGTATTTTGATGCCTAAATGTAGTAAAGGGAGGCAGCAGTAGATTTCATTATATTTTTCCTCATAACCAGGGAACCACTTTATTGGGAAAGGAATTAAGAAGTGGTACTCGCTTGTGATACAAATATGCTACATTAAGGTATTTAACTTTGGTATAAATGACAGGCCATTAGGAACTTAACAATTGAGTGCTAAGTATGTTTCCTTGGGAGCAATTCAGACTGTGTTCAGTGGGGCTTACCTCATGGCAGAAAAAGAGTGAGGCCTTTGAGGAGAAGCTGTGTACCCAGGAGGTCTATGCCAATTCATAGATGTCTGTCTCCCCACTTCCATGGGAACCTACTGTTTTAGCTTGTCTGTGTTGTAAGCCCTAAAAAGCCTGAAACACTTCTTGTCAGACTACAGTGGTACCTCAGGTTACATAAGCTCCAGGTTACAGACTCCGCTAACCCAGAAATAGTACCTCGGGTTAAGAACTTTGCTTCAGGATGAGAACAGAAATCATGAGGTGGTGGCGCATCGGCAGCGGGAGGCCCCATTAGCTGCAGGTTAAGAACAGTTTCAGGTTAAGAACGGACCTCCGGAACGAATTAAGTACGTAACCAGAGGTACCACTGTAATAGATTCCCTCCCCCCACTTGGCAAATAGTGACATGGATCAGTACATAGAATACCACTCTAGCGTTTGTCAAATGAAACTAAGAATACCCCTTTTATTAGATGAAGACATCCCAGGAAAAAAAGGTATAAGTTAGTATGGTGTAATGGTTATAGTGATGGGCTGGGACTTGGGAGGCTGATGTTCAAACTGACTTTTAGGCGTGAAACAACTTGGATGATTGTGACTAAATATTAACAACAGATGAGAAGAAGTATAGAAACAATATATTTAAAAGTTATGAAGATTACTGAAATAAGGAGAAAAAATATTTAAGAAAAAAGAAAACAGGTTGAATTAAGTTAAGCTTGAGGAAATAAAAGAGGCTTGGAAAATGATAGAACTCCTATTTGACTGGTGGCTTTTGATCTGGTCTGTGATTGGTTCAGTTTGTGGGTGAAAGGCCTGACTGGACACTGAGTGAGGTTCTTAAATCAATTTGGCAGTTAGAAGCAATCTAAGTGGCTCTATAAATCAAACTGCACCCCAGCAAAATTGCTGCCAAGAATATTGGGAGTTCTATAGTAGCCTGAACCAATAAGAATGGAATGTTTTGAATCTCTGCTCCCTCCTGCTTAAATTTATCTAATCTGTATTTTCTTTACATGAATTTTAATATCTATTATTTAATTATCTAAATATATTTTTTTATTCTGCTCTTCAGCCAAAAGAGGCTTCCACAGCAACTAATAGATCAATACAAACAAGGCAGTGCCTGCCTTCATTCTTAGAATCTGGAGAAACACAGCACAGAAGGATAATGGAATTAAATGTTTGTCTCGGGATGAAGAAAATTTTTGATTCATCTTTCATTTAAAGGTCACACCTAAGTCACACTTCACAAAAAAATATGCAAACCTAAACACAAGTATCCTTCAATATTCACACCTCTCTGAATTTCGCAGTGTAGTTTTCTAGTCAAGTAATATCTAAAAAATAATAATGTGTATACATCAGATAAAATGAGAGGAAGGAGAAAGGGATTGGGTTGCATTAAGAAACCTGCCAAATCTATGTTTTCTGAAACAAATACGCAAACCAAAATGCAAAAATCCTTTGAAATTCACACTTCTCTGAATTTTGCAATGCAGTTCTCTAGCCAAGCAGTGTATACAAAAATAAATGTGATGCATAAATTAGTGAATATAGCACAGATAAATCCATTAAATTATGGAAAACTGTTCTCCAAAACTGTGTACATTAGAAGAAACCCACACTAAAATGCAGATAAATTTTCACGAGGAATAGTTTTTTTGAAAATTGCCAGCTGATGTGGAAATGTAGAGAACTGAACTTAAGAATGAGAAACTGAGAGGAACCAAAACTGACAAGATTTGTCTACCCCTAGGAGGGAGAACTATGTATGATGATTAATATAATGAAATATAATAACATAGAATTTATAAGAAAAACAACATCCTGCCTGCGGTCTAAATAAACATACCTCTTTAACCTCTCCTTTTCTTCCTTTGTAAGGGAATACAATGGAGTAAGAGAGACTGAATTAAATTACTTCATTTGGAAAAGATATGTGAAAATAAATATGTCAAGGCCCTTAAAGAGTAGGAAGGACTAGATGGCAGAAATAGCTGCAGGTGGTGACTTACAAAGAAAAAAGTATTACCAAATAAAGAAAATGGAAATGTTAGAACAAGAAGCACTCAGGGGTCTAGAAAGAATGTACAGGGAAAACTAATAATCTGGAGCAACAGAATGCAAACATTTCTAAGTTAGGTTTGCAATAAAGAGAGGAAGCCAATGTAAAGAGGTTTTTTAAAAAGCAATATGAGAACGAGCCTTTTCAGTGGTGGCTCCCCATTTGTTGCTCTCCCTGGGGAGACTCACCTGGCTCCATTGTTACATATCTTCAGGCACCAGGCAAAAACATTATTTATTAGCCAGGCCTTTGGCTTTTAACTATCTGTGGCCTTTTAGAGTGAGTGGGATGCTTTTAATGTATTTCTTCCCTACTTTTAATGTATGTATTTGTGAGTTGCTTTGTAAGTTGCTTTGAGTTGTTATGGCAAAAAAGTGACTAACAAATTAAATAAGTAGAAATAAATAAAAAGGGGGAAATACTGTCATATTTATAAGCCAGATAAATGAAATAAGCTGCAGAGTAAATAGAACAGAGCAAGGCCACATCCACACCATACTGTATATTCTAAATGAATTTAAATCACTTGGCTTCACCCAAAGAATCCTGGG